TCCTTGGTTCCACCTCCTAAGGGCCCTATGGGAGCAGGGCAGCTGGCCGGGATGGCGTTTCTGGGCCACAAACAGTGAGTATCCCCTGCCCTGGCCACATCTACCCATCCTGTCACTGACTGCCACCTTATCCGCTGTTTCCCCACCCACAGGGCGACCCCATGCGAAGCGACTGAGGGAGCCCTCCCCCACCGTTGAGGAGGAGCCTGAACCCCTCCTTGACCAGGGCCTGGACCAGCAGGAGCAAGATGTGCTTGCCACAGTGGCATGCAATGTCTCATGTGGGTGTGTGTATCTGGAGACCCTGGCCATGTGTCTGCCACTCACATGGTGGCAGTGGTTGGCCACTATCCTAATGGTGTTGGCAGGTGGCTCACTCGCCAGGCCACCATGGATGGTTGCCAGTGTTGCCAGCCAGACACCTGTGCCACCAGGTGTGTGACATGCATGGGGCATGTAATTCACTGGCCTCAGGTGTGGCTGCTTTCCTCCCCCCATAGAGCCAGTGGTGGTGAGCTCCTTGCAGGAGTCTCCCAGCCATGCAGGAGGGTCTGAGGCAGGTGTCGCAGCTGTTGGGTGGCCCACTGTGTGCTGGTGGACCGTGTGGTGGCCTCCCGGGGATGAGGGGGTCTGAGGGGCTAGGAAAGCGCCCTTGGCAGGACCTGGTGGTCTTGGCCGCCAGGGTGTCACCTGCCGTGTGCTGGTGTTGGCCTCCGCCCTTCACATATGTGGTCTGGCGATGGGTCAGATAGCCAGCTAGGTCGCATGGGTGCTGGCGGGAGTGCCCTCGGGGCCCACCACGACCCCCAGGGGATGGGCCCTGTGTGGTACGCAAGCCATACCAGTGCCTGCCAGTGTGGTTCCCATCAGGGGCCTGCGGTGGCATGGTGGCCTCTTATGGACGGCCAGACCCCATCACACCCTCCTTGCAGATGGCAGCAGGAAAGACCCGGAGTGTCCTTGGTGAAGGAAGCATCCCGTCACTGTTCGGCTCCTCTGGACACTCACCCAGGCCAACTGCTGTGTGCCCCCCCCCCCAGAGCGAAACCACAATTGCATCAACCATGACCCAACCAACACCAGCATTGGCCATTGCACCTGTGTCCCACCCCACGACCCTCGGCCTAACATATTTTGGGCATGCTGTGTACGGCAGTATGCCCACGGACTGCTAGGGAGGGGAGGCCTGTGGCATGGAGCAAGGGGAGGAATGGGGCCGATGCCCACTGCAGCCGGTACCTGGCAACTGTGCCCTCTAGTCTGGAGGGGTGTAGGGCTGCGGCTTCTTCCATTTCCTTGGTGGCTTCCCGCTGTCACCAGATGCCTGGGTGACTGCACTGGTGGGGTCTGGCTGCCCGGGCTCGGGCAATGGAGCCCCTGTGGCCGCAGTGCTGGTGCCTGGCTTCACGGGGTCGGGCAATGGGGCACCTGTGGCTGCAGTGCTGGCGCCCGGCTGCACGGGCTTGGGCAATGGAGCATGGGCTTGGAAGGTCTCAACCGACAAGGTGACTGCACGTGTCAGGTCAGCGATGCCATTGGTGGATGTGTCCATAGACTGATGCATCGCTGCCCGATCCTCTCGGTCCTCTGCACGGCCAGCCCTCAGCTCTGCAAGGACCTCCTCGTGCTGCCTCCGCTACCTCCCTCCTGGCCTCTCTACTCTCCTCCCTGGCTTGGGCTGCAAGGTGTTCCCCGACGCGCTGAAGGGCGGAGACCTGCTTCTTCCTGGCCGTGATGAGAGATGCTGTTTTGGCAGCCGTCCGATCTCCCACATCGACGTCTGGTGGCAGACCTGAGGAGTCATGGCAAGATGGGAATCACCGCTGTGGCTCAGCCGCTGTGAGCCTTCCCGAGTGCCATGTGGTCCCTCCTCCCAGGCCCGCCCCACGCTGCCACTCACGTTCCGGATCTCGTTGGCCAGCCTCCCCTGGCTCTGCATCCTCCTCATCAGCATCCTGTGATTCTTGTGGTGTCCCTGGGGGAGAGAAGGACGGATGTCGTGATGGGCCACTGAGCTCTGGTGGCCAGCCCAACATCACTTGGGCCGCCTCATGGCCAGGGATGGGATGCCATCGTGGTGGCCTACAAAGGTGCCCATCATACCCTTGTGACTTACCCTGGTCGGCTGGAGGTGCCATTGCGACATCACCACCATCACTGTCCTCCACGTCACTGCTGAGTTGCTGGGTTGCACAATGGGAGTCTGAACCTAAAGGGAAGGGGACTGGAGTCTTCAGGATTGTTCCTGGCTTCTGTTCCTGTGCTGGATGTTTGGGACGTATCCTCTCTGCCTTGGATCCCTGTAACAGCGCTTTGTGGCACCGCTGACTGTGAGGTCATGTGGACTGTAGCATGGCCCCTGTGGTCTCCCCTTGGGGTGCAGCCACAGTCTCATCCATCTGTGTGGGGGGGGAGCGGGGTTAGCCGGCGAACGGAAGTCCAGCTCGCAAGATGGGAAAGCCTAGAGAGATCTCCTCGGCACAAAGAAAGCCTGTAATGGGCCGTTCCGACCAGGTGGTGGCAGTGCAGCGCTACAACTCAAAGGAGTCTGGAGAAAGCTGACGCCATCAAACCAGGCCAAGGAAAAATGCCGTCCGGATCACGTCTCATCTTCAACTGAACGAAACCCTCGTCGGCTGTGAATGTGTGTGAATTAAGATGTATATATGTTGTCCTCCCCTACCCCACAAATCATTGTTAGTCCCTCGTCATAATGAGTAACTGTAAATCACTCAGAGCCAGCAAGCTCTGCAGGATTGAGCAATCAATAAATTGAAAGATTATTATTATTATTATTATTATCTCTTCCCCCCTGCCATGTGGTGTGGTATGATGTTTAGGGACGTTGTGCCCATCAACTTCCGTGGGGTGCCTTGGTGGTCTTTGTGGTGTCTGTCACTGCTGGTGGGGGCTTGCAGGGTGTCACTGTGGCATCACATTTAGGGTGCGAGCCCATGAGGGCAGTGTTCTCAGTGCACCCCATGTCGGGTGTCCAATAAGGGGACCCATGCACATAGGATGGGATGCTTCCAGGGACTGGTGGGCTGGATTAGGCTGGGTGCAGGTGCTGTGGGAACTGGCTCCAGGCAGTATGCTGCCTGATGTGTGTCCCTCGGTGGACCTGGAATGGTGACGGCCACTGACCCGGGACCTGTGGCCAGCTGCTGTCACACCTACCTGGCTGGCTGCTGCTGGATGCCCGTGGCTCCCATGTGTCCTGCGAGTCCTTAGTGAAGAGCTCCAGTGATACCTGCTGAGAGGAGGTGGACGGGCCCTGGGGGGCATCTTGGGCAGGAACCCAGTCAAAGCTCTGGAGCAGCTCTTCTGCCCATATCTCTTTCTCCGTGTGGAGGAATCTATCCAGCTCCTCATAATAGGGGCATGTGGCTCTGCCACTACCAGATTTTGCATTCAATCTCACGGCTTTTTTGTATTTTAGGTGCAAGTCCTTGGCTTTTGAGCGGCACTCTTCAGCGGTCCTCGGGCAACCATACCTGTGGCCACCTCTTCAAATAACTCCAGGTTTCTGTGGGACTGTCTCAGGGCGGTCTGGATCGTCCCGTCTCCCCACAAATCTAAGAGGTCCAGGGTCTCCGGTCGCTTCCATGAGGGGCCACGCACCCTACCTCTTCCACAGGTGGGAGGGGGATTGGCTGCTGGT